GTGGAGCTGGGTCCACCAGAGAGATCAGCCATGATGTCATTGAATGGTTGTGTTCTTGTGTTCTTTCAAACTGCTTTTTAAAAATAAAACCTAAAGGTCTCTTGACCTAATGACTTAGGCTGATTCCAGGAGACACTTCAGTACCTCTGCCTTTATAACCTCCCTTCAAAAAAAAACCCAGAGAAAATAACCTTTATAAAAGTGTCACACTTTAAACATTGTCACACCTCCTCCCTTTAAAAAATTAACCATCAATATACAAAGATGGCTTCATTTTAAAAATGTTAGTCTTACTCTATTAGTATACTACAATGCATATACGTTACATTGACTCTAAACATGCAAACGCTCACTACTGCATTCTATTACAATCGGTTTACTCCTGCCACTGAATGCCTCCATCTTTCTTTATCCAAGTCATGACAATACGTCAGCAATTACGTTTTCATATCCTGCCAAATGTATAATTTTAAAATTGAATTGCTGCAATAATCAGTCTGGAATTTTTGTCCTTAAAATTTCTCCAAAAAACTTTAATGGGTTATGATCAGTACATACAATTGTCTCAGCTCATTACTGGCAATATAATTGTTGAAATGGTGTAATACCAACACCAAGCTCAGTTTTCTTCCCAATTGTGGAATATTTCTGTTGATGAGTTTTCAAGTTTCTGGAAAAATACCTGATAGGTCTTTCTATCTTCTTGTCATCTTCTTCTAAGAGTACAGCACCAACACTCAACATTCACATTGATAGCCACCTTGAATGGTTTTGTGTTGTTAGCTGTGGCTAACACTGAGGCAGTGGTTAACACCGCTTTCAGACTCACAAATGTCTTCTGACAGTCCACAAACTTTCTGCACTTCTTCAATAAATCAATCAGTGGAACAACCCCACTGCTAAAATTCTGTATGAACTTCCAATAAAACCCATTCAGTCCCAGGAATCATAGTACTGCTCTCTTCATCGATGGGGCCACCCGGCCATGACCAATAATATGGCCCAGGAACGTGGCTTCGGCTTTTGCAAATTCACTCAGCCAGGCTTATCACCAAGCCCGCCTCCTGAAGTTGATCAAATAATTCCAATAAATGCTGCAAATGTTCCCTTCATACATGACTAAAAACCACCACACAATTGGGTAATCCAGAAATGACTTTATCGGGTTAGTCTTTGAAATGTGGCTGGCACATTTTTCCATACCAAATGGCATGACTTTAAATTGGTATAGTCCATTCGGTGTTACGAAAGCTGAAATTATTTTCCGCTTTTTCAAATAAAGGTACCTGCCAGTAACCTTAATATCAGTGGCGCAATGGAGAGCGTGTTGGACTTCTACGAATGTATTGACAGTGCTGTTCAAAGGTTGCGGGTTCGAATTCCACCACAGTCGAGTTTTTCGCTCCAGGCGCATGACGTTGGGGTGGCATAGTGGCTCAGTGGTTAGCACTGCTGCCTCACAGCGCCAGGGACCCAGGTTCGATTCCAGCTTTGGGCAACTGTCTGTGTGGAGTTTGCACATTCTCCCCATGTTGGTGTGGATTTCCTCCGGATGCTCCGGTTTCCTCCCACAGTCCAAAGATGTGCAGGGTAGGTGAATTGGCCATGCCAAATTGCCCATAGTGTTCAGGAATGTGCAGGCTGGTGGGTTACAGGGGGATGGGTCTGGGCAGGAATGCTCTGAGGTTCAGTGTGGACTGGTTAGGCTGAAGAGCCTGTTTCCTCGCTGTAGGGATTCTATGATTTAACTTACCTGAATAATTTTGATGTAAAATTTGACCCGTGATCTGATTGTATCTCTGTAGGTAGTCCGTATCAACTGAAACATTTGAGTAACTCTTCTACAATCCTTTTAGCTCTGATACTGCATAACAGAATGGCTCCTGGAAATATCCATTATTGTCAACAATATCAATTCCCACTTTTTGTTTTAGGTAGACATTGAAGACCCTTGTAAAAGGTTCCTCAAATGCAGGAATGGGTATTAAAACTGCTGGTTTTATTACTGCCCGAGATTTTCCAAATTACCTGACATGTATAACATTCCTGGCAAAATTCAACTACATTCTTATGCAGTCCAGACCAGTAAAAATATTTCTGTATTTTGGTTTGAGTTTTCCTTACTCCTAAACGACCTCCTACTGATAACTCATATGCTACCCACAACACCTCCTTTCTATAACCCACTGGTAATAGAACTTGAATTTCTACCCATTTCCCATCTGCTGAATATGTGATGGTCTCCATTTCCTCATCAAGTCATCATTTAAAGATAGCAACATTCAGAAATACACTCAGATTCTTCTTCTGTGTATGCTTTTTGGTACAATTGCTTCAGTTTTTCATCTTTCTGTTGTAACTCAGTTAAATTTTCTAAACTAAACATATCCACTTTGTCCTCCACCTGTTCTTATTTTTCTCTCAACCATTCAATCAAACGTGGTCTCTGATAATTCTACTTCAACTTCCTTATCTTTATTCTTTGATTTCTCCTCCTGTTTCAGCCTGTGGCTTTGAGACCTCGTTATCACACAGCCAGGAAAAATCCCAGGATACGCTTCCTGATTTTCCACTGGTTTTTCAACCACAACAGGCACCTACCTGTGATCCAGCTATACCGTTACCAAGGACAAATTGTATTCCTGGAGCCAAAAATTCCTCCAGTACTCCTATTACCACTTCTCCACTTTTCACCAGACACTCCAACCTAACTCTACATAATGGAGGACTTCTGGTCTCACCACGAATTCCACATATTAACACTTTTTCTGGCAATAGTCCTTCTGAATTACGTATCTCCTCATCTCTCAAAGATTGACATGATTCTGTATCTCTTAAAATTGTAATTTCTTTAACTGTTCCTCTTGGCACACGCAAGTAAACCTCATCCTCGAAAGTGAATGGTTTAAGATGATCTGGCAATTTCTTCTCAACCAATCTCTGACCAGAGAGTTCATTCTGGTGCAGCTTCTTAACCTGCACTGTGCTTTCCTTTACCACTTCAGCAAAACTCAGTGGCTCATCCTGTTTTCCTACATCCGACTTCCCAGTGCATTTTTCTAAACCACCAACACTGACTTCCTGTGGCCTACTTTATTACAGTGAAAACACCTGAGCTTTTTACTTCTCTTTCCCTCTCGTGGGTACCCTATGGTACACTATCTTCAACGAGACCTACTTTTCCCCTTACCAGCTGAGGATTTCTCTTTTGCCCCAATTTCTATCCCTCACATTCTGTTTTATCCTCTCAAACTCAATGTATGTTTGACCAGGGTCCTTTCTCAGATTCCTGAAACGTTGTCTGTAGACTTCTGGCACTAGTTCATATGCACCTAAGATGGCTTTCTTCACCACCTCATACTCCCCAGGTACCTCCTCAGAGTGATGCAAATACCTCCCTCGCTCTACCAACCAACTTTGTTTGGATCAACAATACCCACATGGTCACCGGCCACTTCATTTGTTTCGCCACTTTCTCAAATGAAATGAAGGCGGCTTCTACATCCTTCTCATCAAATTTAGGCAATGCTTGGACAGATTTAAACAGATCCCCACCAGCCCTTTGGCTGCAATAGGTTTGCACATCCTCACTAAGCTTACCTTCTACCTCCACCTGCACTTCCATCCTTTTAAGTTCACTTTCCTGTCTAATTGCCAACTCTGAAGTTCAAACACACTCTCTTTCTGCTTTTCTTCTCTCTTTCTTGTGCTAGGGCCATCCTTTCCTTTTCTTTTTGTTCTGCCAAGGTTATTCTTTCCGTTCCTCTTTCCTCAGCTTTAAATCGTAATTCAAACTGTTTCAGTTCCTTTTCATGTTCAAGCCACTTCATCTGCAATTGAATCCTAGTCATTTCCAAAGATTCTGATGGCATTTCCAGCAACTTTAAATGTCAAGCTATTGCTGTAATTACCTTCTCTTTTCTCACAAAGACAACCCCAACCCCAGCTTGTCTGCCAATTCCAACAGCTTTGCCTTGCTCACGTTTTGTAATACTCCCAAAGTTATTTCTCCACACCCAGAAAACTTAGTGACTGAAAGAGCCATTACTACACAAAGCATGCCCTGTTTAAAGCAACCAACTTCAACAACCAAAAGAGACACTAACACCTACTACTGGCCGCCTTACAGTCCAACAACCCTAAACCCAAATTGGAATTATAGAATTATATCCCAGACAAGCCCCCAATGTGTTATAGACCAGACCAGACCTCCTCAAAATATCTTAAGATGGTAGCCTAGACCCTAACTGTTTTTCTTATTTTTAAAAGGTAGATGTGAAGTGAGTGTTCCAGATATGATACTGGAACTGGTCAAACCACTCAATGTTAAGCAAAACACAATTTATTTAAATACTATAGTTAAAACACAAACAGAAGAAAGAGGAATTTAGAATAACTTAACTATTGGAAAACTTAACCCAATAATAGATACAGTACCTATTACTAATTAACTGATCCAATATAATAACATCCCATAAACACAGCCCTTGGCAAAAAGAAAGGTAAATTCAGACACAGGTTCTTATGTGCGGTTTCCCAATCCAGGAGGGAACAACATATTGAAAGATTTCAGAGAAAGACACAGCTAGGAATCATTTACTGAAGCTTGCAACCCTTGTGGAGCCCAAACAGCTTCTCCCTTGAGTGTTGTCGTAGCTGCATTCATCCAGATAAGTAGAGAGTATTCCATCACACTCCTGTCTTGTGGTTCAACGTTGGGAAAATTTTGGATAAATCAGGAGGCAAGTTACTCACTGCAGAATTATCATCCTCTGACTTTTTTTTGTAGACACAGTATTTATGGGGAATGAGAGAAAGTGGGTGTAGGTGTAAGTATTAGCCAATATAGTGGTGAGTGAAGCCATCTGAAGACTCCACTGTCTAGCAGAATAGTAAACAAATGATGTGATCCCACTTGCCTTAATTTTACAAAATAGTTAATAGTGCAATTGCCGTACAAATCCAACCATGAATCATTCCAATCCATGTAGCTGTTTTACCTTTGTAGAAACCTTTGCTATCCAACGTAGTACCAAAGAGGGATCGACCAGGATACCTCTGACCTCCAGTCACTACAGTTTCGGGTTTTGTCAGCTGATCTAGAAAAATAATTTTTTTTGGAAAATGGAACTTTAAAAATTATGCTTGTAGGGACTTCTTGTGCACTTCATAGCTTTAATGATGGCCTCATCCAGAGAAGAAAAGACATTTCAGTTTGCACACATTTAGGTAAGCTCTCACAAAGCACACTTAATACCCATCAGATTTCATTTTTACTTATCCATACTGTTACAAAGTTAGGGAGAGTACTTGTCGATTGGAAGGCAGGACGTTAGAATTTGTTTCTAAAATGAATGTTGGGGTTGGGGGTGGGGGGGGAAGAACGTGTGGTCCCTTTAAAAGATGATGTGTTTTGTCTAAGCTTGGAGATTTTAAAAAATGTCTGTGAGCAGCAGCAAGTACAGAGAGTTCCTGAAATTTGATACAAATGTTTCAAAGACTGTAAGGTTAGCAACCCAGGCAGTAGTCTTATTTTGTTATTAAGACAACCAGATTGAATATCAGCCAATTAATTTAAACCAGGCACTTGGAGACTAAAAACCAATTAAATTTAAATCTGATGGTTCTGACAACCTAGGACCAATCCTATTGTAAGAAATTGATAGGTTATTGAGGGTATGAAAGAAAAAGGTATTTGAAAATTGGCATGAGAGCAACTGCCATCTGTTAGAGTAAACAACCTACAGCCCTAAAGAGAAGAAGATCACTAGCTCTCACAGAATCCTCTAAGCACTCAGAAAACCATCATCTGACTCTTAGCTAATATTCCTGACACAAGAATTTGACAGAGAAAGGCGTTCCCGAGTGAAAAACAGCAGAGAAGGCACCAAACATTCTGGAAGATGTATCCTGGCTATAATTTCGAGAGACTAAGTTTTAAGTATTTTTTATTAACTTGGCTTATATAAGTGGGACTTGTATCTTTTGGAACAGCATACCTTTATAATTTTGTTTTAGTCGAAATAGTTGGTAGTAAAGGGGGGGGGGGTATCTGTTTGGTTTGTTAGTAGTTCTGTTAATTTGTTCATTGTTAGAGTTAAATAAATTGTTGCTTGTTGATTATCGATTGACTGTCAGGAGTTCATTTCAGTTAACCACTCCTTTATAACAGATTGGGGGTGGGGGTGAGAGGCAGGTTATACCACTTTTCACACTTCCTTTAACAGATTATGAGGTGAAGCGAGCTTCTCTAGCTGTTTCGGTTTAGATTTTGGGGGGTTCAACCTCTGCTTTATAACAACACTACCTTATCCACAACTGTAATGAGCTTCTCTACCTTTTGTAACAGAAATAATTCACACGGACACAGCTGGGATTGGAAAAGCTATAAGGGGGAGGCATATTGGCTCAGTAGTTAGCAAGTGCCTGGGTTCAATTCCACCCTCTGGCGACTGTCCGTGTGGAGCTTGCACATTCTCCCCACATCTGATTGGGTTTGCTCCGAGTTCTCCAGTTTCCTCCTAAGGTCCAAAGAAGGGCAGGTTAGGTGGGCTAGTCCTGGGAAATGCGGGATCACAGTGACAGGGTGGGTCTGGGTCAGATGTTCTTCAGAGGGTTTGTGTAGGCTTGATGGGCCGAATGGCCTGCTTCCACACTGTAGGAATGCTGTGATTTAATAAGATATAGGAGTAGGGATGTACATTCCACTATTCAGTAAGATCATAGCTGATAATATTACATTGTTCCCCTGTACCTGGTAGAGGTGGCTGCAGGTTACTGCTAGGCTTATTTATCTTCAGGGCCTTTGTTAAGTTTCTTTAAGCAGAAGGAGAAATCACCAAAAATATGCCAGTGCTGGGTTTGATTGACAGGGAAATATTACTCAGTTGATGAAATGCTAGTATTGCAGTATGGCTTAAGCTCCCAACTCCTTCACCCCGCCCCACCAGGGGTCACTTTGCTGCTTTCTTTTATATTACCGACACAGTCCCTTCCCCTAACACCCACCTACCTCCCTCAGAATTGGGTTATGATGAACCGTAACGAGTCTGTAGCCTCTCTCCAACTGTGAAGCTGTCCTCTACATGTTACACCAATTTCCATACTGGCTTAAAATGTGTCTTTTACATTCATTGCACAGCCTCTATCTTCCTTGACCTCACGCGTTTCACACACCTTCCCTCACCTCTGAGATAACAAGGTGTAGAGCTGGATGAACACAGCAGGCCAAGCAGCATCAGAGGAGCAGGAAGGCTGACGTTTCCGGCCTAGGCCCTTCTCACCTCTGTTCACTTTTTAACATTTTGCATAACTTTGTGTCATGTTGCATGACTCTCTGAAGCTAGAAATTTGAGCAGTTTTTACCCGTTCCGATTTCTGACATTGCTAAAGCCAACCCTACAGTGAAACCTATAGATTAAACATTCATCCAAGCAGGAGGGGGCATAATGGAAAACAGTATTACCTACAATTTCAGCCGTTTCCGAAACTGCAAGAGAAAAAAAAATAAATGGGTCAAATGTTTAATTTTTGCATCATTAACAATTTTGCAAAACATTGAGCAATTTTAGGTTTTCAGGTCAAAGAAGTTACCAACCTTGAAACTGAGCACACTCAGGATCCATTGCAACTTCCAGTGATGGCAGGGGCTGGAGTCACAAGCTCTTCACACTGCCAATCAGGACGGTCTCTGTATGAGTTCCACCAACCAACAGTGTCGTAACTCATCATGTGTTGTTCGAATGTATCGAACGTTGCCAGGCAACAACAATAATAAACATTCGATTGAAGTGTAGCAACCAGCGGAATGGAAACAACGTTAAAATAGGACGCCCTTCTCGGTGACAATTGGAACTGTATGTAGTTATTGTTAACGCCAAGAACAGATTTGTCAATCCCTGCTGGCATTCTCCGACATTTTCCGTTTTTTTTTCCATTCTCCCTCTAGCACTTTAACGCCAAATCTTAAAGATATAATCAGGAACTTTTTCGGGTAAAAGATGGACCTTAAGCGTTTACAACTGGAATCAGAGCAACGTAGTGCGCTTCTGGAAATCTAAAACAAACACGGAAAATGCTAGAGAAACTGCATCATCGGTGGAATGGGAAATAGAGTTAACGTTTTCGACGCGGAATGACTTCTTCAGTCATACCAGACTGGAAACCATAACTCGGTTTTACTTACCACGGATGCTGCTGAGTTTCTTGAGCAATTTTGTGTATTTGTTTCAAATCTTTCAGCTAGATTCGCTCTGGGGAACTTTTCCGGATCAAAGACCAGGGAATCCCAAACATAAACATTTCGTGGCAGAGAGAGAGGCTGTAGAAGAATTGCGACACGCTGACAATTTGATAGCCCTTATTTTGTGGTGATATCGCGTTAGCGTTAACGGTCATAGACTGACAGCGACTTCGGGATGCAGCGTATGTGCACAGTAACGGAGAAAAAGTGGAAGTTGTTGCCAGCGATTCCACATTCCTTCGCTGAGGTACACCCAGACTGCAAATAACCACGGGCATAATTAATTAATGAAAACTTCCACATGCAGGAGCGCCTGCAAAAACAAAAGTTGCACCTTTCAGACCCGAGCATAGCTGTAATTATTAAATTAGTGTGCTACTGAACAGGCATGGAGAAAACTCAAGGACCCAATTATTGGCACATTTCCAGGTCCCTTATTACCCCGCCTACACGCCCCCCGCCCTCCACCAAACCCCCAACTTTTTAAACCCTCTCACATCCTTCAGGTGCCCAGAATTGGGAACTGTAGTTACAAATTTGTTTCAGATAAGTTTAGGACTTTTTTTTCCCCCAATTTGATGCGTCTATTTATAAAGCTATCGATGACACTTTGCTGTAACTTTGTCAATAACACAACTTAGTCCTTCGCATTATGAAACCAGCCCTGCATTATCGAACCAAGTTCTGTGTAATCATCAGATAGCAACATCCAAACCCCTCCGTTAACACCACCGTACAAGGTACTGTTCTGGTCACCCGGCTTTAGGAGGTTTATTTTTAAAATTGGAGGGTGTACAGCAGAGACTTATAGGAAAGCTACCAGGTCTGGAGTGTTTGAGATACAAGGAGGAGCATACACAAGGTGAATAGCAAAGGTCTTTTGCCTACAGTAGGGGAATCCAAAACTAGAGGGCATAATTAAGGTAAGAAGAGAAAGATTTAAAAAGGGACCTGGAGGGCAACTTTTTCCACAGAGGGCAGTTCCTATGTGTAATAATCTATCAAAGTAGTAGATACAGGTACAATTACAACACTTTTGGGTAGGTACATGGATAGGAAAGGTTTAGAAGGTTGTGGGCCAAACACAGGCTAATAGGACAAATTTAGTTTGTGAAGCCTGGTCAGCATGGGCGAGTTGGACCAAAAGGTCTGATTCTATGGTGTATGACTATGACTGTCCTGAACAAGACCACATTCAAATTTAAGACCTGGATACTATCAGGTTTCGTTATAACAAGATGCAGGTAATAGTTGAACCATAAAACAACCGAGCAGTAACCATCTCCAACTGGGGGAGGCGATGGCCTAGTGGTACTATCAGTGGACTATTAATCCAGAGACCCAGATAATGTTCTGGGGACCTAGGTTTAAATCCCCCCACAGCAGATGGTGGAATATGAATTCAAAAAAAAATCTGGAATTCAGAATCTAATGATGACCATGAACCCATTGTCTTTTATCAGAAAAACCCATCTGGTTCACTAATATACTTTAGGAAAGGAAACTGCCATCCTTACCTGGTCTGGCCTACATGTGACTCCAGGCCCACAGCAATGTGGTTGACTCTGAACTGCCCTCTGGGCAATTAGGGATGGGCCAATAAATGCTGCCTGGTCAGCAACACCCTCATCCTGTGAATGAATAAAGGAAGGGAAAATCTAACAACTACCCCTTCACCTTCAAGGGTATTGCCATCCCTGAAACATTGAGGGTCACTACTGACCTGAAACTCAAATACAAGTAGTTTCTTGCATTAGTAAGAAATCCTTTTGGGTTTTTTGGAACTGTCAGGAAAGTCAAACTCCAATGTTTTTGCTTTCCAAATGCAAAAGACTGTACAGAGCTGAACTGCTTTGGTGACTATGAGTCATAGATATACAGCACAGAAACAAACCCTTCAGTCCATCTCATCCACACCAACCAGATATCCTAAATTAATCTAGTCCCGTTGACAGCATTTAGCCCATATCCCTCTGAACCCTTCCTATTTATATACCCATCCAGATACCTTTTAAATGTTGTAATTGTACCAGTCTCCACCATTTCCTCCAGCAACTCATTCCATACACGCACCACCCTCTGCCTGAAAAAGTTTCCTCTTAGGGCCTTTTCAAATCTTTCCGCTCTCACCTCAAACCTATGCCCAGTTTTGGACTCCACTACCCTGGGGAAAAGACTTTGTCTATTTACTCTATCCATGCCCCTCATGGTCACCCTCAGCCTCCAATGCTCCATTGAAACTAACCCCAGACTAGTCAGCTGCTCCCTACAACTGAAACCCTCCAACCCTGGCAACATCCTTATAAATCTTTTCTGAACCCTTTCAAAATTTCACAACATCCTTACTACAGCAGGATGATCAGAATTGTGCACAGCATTCCAAAAGTGGCCTGACCAATGTCCTATACATGACCTCCCAACTCCTATACTCAATGCACTGACCAATAAAGACAAGCATACCAAATGCCTTCTTCACTATCCTATCTACGACTCCATTTTCAAGGAACTATGAACCTGCACTCCAAGGTCTCTTTGTTCAGCAACTCCCCAGACCTTACCATTAACTGTACAAGTCCTGCCCTGATATGCTTTCCAAATGCAGCACCTGACATTTATTTAAATTAAACTCCGTCAGCCACCTCTTGGCCCATTGGCCCATCTGATTAAGATTCCGCTGTACTGAGATAATCTTCTTCGCTGTCCACTACACTTCATCTGCAAATTTACTAACCATACCTCCTATGTTCACATCCTAATCATTTATGTAAATGACAAATGAGTGGAGCCAGTATCAATCCTTGTGGCACACCACTGGTCACAGGCCTCCGGTTTGAAAAAAAAACATCCCTCCACCACCACCTTCTGTCTTCTACCTTCGAGCCAGTTCTCCCTCTATTCTTTGTGATCTAACCTTGCTAACCAGTCTACCATGAGGAACCCTGTCTAATACTTCACTAAAGTCCATAAAGGTAATGTGCAGTGCTCTGCCTCAATTGTATTCATTACTTCATCAAAAATCTCAAGTTAGAGAGGCAATTTCCTCACACACAAAGCCATGTTGACTATCCCTAATCAGTCCTTGTCTGTCCAAACACATGTAAATCCTGTCCCTCAGGATTTCTTCCAACAACCTGCCCACCACTGATGTCAGGTTCACCAATCTGTAGTTTCCTGGCTTTTCTTTACCACCTTTCTTAAATAATGGCACCATATCAGGCAACATCCAGGCTTCCAGCACCTCACCTGTGGCTATCAATGATACAAATATCTCTGCAGGGGGCCCAGCAATCACTTCACTTGCTTCCCAGAGTTCTAGGGTACACGTGGTCAGGTCCTGGGGATTTATCCACCTTTATGCATTTTAAGGTGCCCAGCACCACCTCAAGATCTCAATATTTCATGCACTTTCTCCATCTTCCATATCCCTCTCCACAGTAAACACTGTTGCAAAATACTCATTTAGAATCTCTCCCATCTCCTGTGGTTTCATACATAGGTGGACTTACTGATCTTTAAGGGGCCCTATTCACTCCCTAGTTATCCTTTTATCCTTAATGCATTTGTAGAATCCCTTTGGATTCTCCTTAACCCTTTCTGTCCTCCTGATTTCCCTCCTATTGTCTACTCCTACTGTCCTTATATTCTTCTAGGGATTCACTTAATCTCTGCTGTCTACACTTGATATAGGCTTCCCTCTTTTTATTGATCAAAACCTCAATTTCTCTAGTCATCCAGCATTCCCCACACCTACCAGCCTTGCCTTTCACCCTAAAAGGAACATTGTCTCTGGACACTCATTTTTGAAGGCTTCCAATTTTGCAGCTGACCTTTGCCTGCAAATATCTGTCCCCAATCAACTTTTGAAAGTTATAGTTAGAGTCATAAGACCATCAAAATCAGCCTTCCTCCAACTTAGAACTTTAACTTTTACATCAAGTCTATCATTTATCATCATTTTAATTAGAATAATGGTCACTGGTCCCCACCCTACATTATTTCTCAAGAGTAGGTCAAGGTTCGCCCCTTCTCCAATAGGTACATCCACATACTGAATCAGAAAGTTTTCTTGTACACACAAATTCCTCTTCATCCATGCCCTTAACACAATGGCAGTCCCAGCCTATATTTGGAAAGTTAAAATCCACTACCATTACCACCCTTTTATTCTTACAGATAACAGAGGTCTCCTTACAAATTTGCATCTCAATTTCCAGATGACTATTGAAGAGGGTCTATAATACAACTCTAATAAAGGTGATCATCCCTTTCCTATTTCTCCATTCCACCCAAGTAACTTCCCTGGATGTATTCCGAGGAATATCCTCCCTCAGTACAGCCATATTGTTATCCCTAAATCAAAAACACCACTCCCCCTCTCTTGCATGCACCCACTACCATAACCCTTTCTATAGCATCTTTACCCTGGAACACTAAGCTGTCAGTCCTATCCATCCCTAAGCCGGGTCTCTGTAATTGCTGTGATATCCCAATCCCATGTTCCCAACCATGCCGAGTTCATCTGCCTTACTTGTGTAAGCCTCTTGCATTAAACTAAGTTGCATTTATTTCAGTCCTACCTCATTATCTGCTTTATTCCTGTTTGCCCGGTTTGACTTGCTTCTTTTCCCAACTGCACAGGTCTCAGACTGATCTCTTTCCTCACTATCTCCCTGGATCCCACTCCTTACTAATTTAAGTCCTGTATAAAGACTTATTATGAATAAGGTATATTTTTGAAATATAGAAAATCACTGACCAGAAATTGAACTGGCCAGCCATGTAAACACTAGTTACAGCTGCAGGTCAGATGCTAGAAATCCTGCAGCAAGTAACTCACCTCCTAACTCCCCAAAGCCTGTCCTGGATCAATAAGATACAAATGAGTAGTTATGGAATACTCCCCACTTGCCCGGATGTGTGCAGCTCCAACAGCAGAGTCTTGGATTGTGTCCAGCTACTTCAAAGCAGCCACTTGATTGGCACCACATCCACAAACAAACATTCACTTCCTCCAGTATCAACTCAAGCAGTAGTATGTAATGAGATGCACTGCAGAACTTCAAGACTCCCTAGAAAGCTGTCTCAAACTCATGACCATTACTAATCTAAAAGGATAAGGACAGGATGGTAGATACACATGACTACCAACACTTGCAAGCTCCCATTGAAGTCATTCACTATCCTGACTTGGAAATATATCATCGTTCGTTCAGTGTCACTGGGTCCAATTCCTAGAACTCG